CATCAACACCCTATATCAGGTGTGCATAATTATTAGGCAACTTCTTTTCCTTTGGCAAAATGGGTCAAAAGAAGGACTTGACAGGCTCAGAAAAGTCAAAATAGTGAGATATCTTGCAGAGGGATGCAGCACTCTTAAAATTGCAAAGCTTCTGAAGCGTGATCATCGAACAATCAAGCGTTTCATTCAAAATAGTCAACAGGGTCGCAAGAGGCGTGTGGAAAAACCAAGGCACAAAATAACTGCCCATGAACTGAGAAAAGTCAAGCGTGCAGCTGCCACAATGCCACTTGCCACCAGTTTGGCCATATTTCAGAGCTGCAACATCACTGGAGTGCCCAAAAGCACAAGGTGTGCAATACTCAGAGACATGGCCAAGGTAAGAAAGGCTGAAAGACGACTACCACTGAACAAGACACACAAGCTGAAACGTCAAGACTGGGCCAAGAAATATCTCAAGACTGATTTTTCTAAGGTTTTATGGACTGATGAAATGAGAGTGAGTCTTGATGGGCCAGATGGATGGGCCCGTGGCTGGATTGGTAAAGGGCAGAGAGCTCCAGTCCGACTCAGACGCCAGCAAGGTGGAGGTGGAGTACTGGTTTGGGCTGGTATCATCAAAGATGAGCTTGTGGGGCCTTTTAGGGTTGAGGATGGAGTCAAGCTCAACTCCCAGCTCAACTCCCAGTCCTAATGCCAGTTCCTGGAAGACACATTCTTCAAGCAGTGGTACAGGAAGAAGTCTGCATCCTTCAAGAAAAACATGATTTTCATGTAGGACAATGCTCCATCACACGCGTCCAAGTACTCCACAGCGTGGCTGGCAAGAAAGGGTATAAAAGAAGAAAATCTAATGACATGGCCTCCTAGTTCACCTGATCTGAACCCCATTGAGAACCTGTGGTCCATCATCAAATGTGAGATTTACAAGGAGGGAAAACAGTACACCTCTCTGAACAGTGTCTGGGAGGTTGTGGTTGCTGCTGCACGCAATGTTGATGGTGAACAGATCAAAACACTGACAGAATCCATGGATGGCAGGCTTTTGAGTGTCCTTGCAAAGAAAGGTGGCTATATAGGTCACTGATTTGGATTTGTTTTGTTTTTGAATGTCAGAAATGTATATTTGTGAATGTTGAGATGTTATATTGGTTTCACTGGTAATAATAAATAATTGAAATGGGTATATATTTGTTTTTTGTTGTTGCCTAATAATTATGCACAGTAATAGTCACCTGCACACACAGATATCCCCCTACCATAGCTATAACTAAAAACAAACTAAAAACTACTTCCAAAAATATTCAGCTTTGATATTAATGAGTTTTTTGGGTTCATTGAGAACATGGTTGTTGTTCAATAATAAAATTAATCCTCAAAAATACAAGTTGCCTAATAATTCTGCACTCCCTGTAAAGGTAAAAATGTTCTCATATATTTAGGATTATCACGTTCATTAAGGGATTAAAACCGATTGCACTCATCAGAATTTTCTTCATTTTAATTTATTGGAGGAATTTATCCTGGTGAAAAATATTTTCCGGTTTCCTACATGCAGCAAGGCGGCTTCCCAGGGGTCCAGTCGAGATAAAGAGATTCTCCCACTCCCCTCCAACTTCCTCCTGGATGGCTCTGTTATATCTGGGAGGAAGTGACCGGATATCTCTTCCTCCCAGCCCTGTCTAAAATAATTTAAAGGGCTTGGTCGTGCTATTAAAGTGTCATAGTGCTGACTGGGCCCATGAAAACTCTTTTGCCATTGGGTGCCCCTAAGTACATGGGCCACCCGATGAGCACTCTGAGTCTGCGGGCCTCCCGTGTAGCCACTGGTGGTAGTTCAACTGCTGAATCTTAGCATGTTTATAGTAATTTTTTTAAATGTTTATGACATACTTTTCAAAGTTTTTCTTCCTTTGTTTTGGTATATATTATATATATATATATATATTTTTTTTTATTTTTTATTATTATTATTATTATTTATTTATTTTTTTAAAGTAGTGCTTCCCCCTAAACCCTTGTCAGTTTCAACTTAACAGAACTCACAAGTGCCCAGAAAAGAAAAAATGTCAATGTGTCATGTTTAAATACATTTGCACAGAGAAGTAGAATATTACCTGTAGGGATCTTTCAGTGTCTTTGATGTGCAATAAATGCAGGAGGTGTTCTCGATGAAGACTGGTTAATAGTTCTGTTGGAATTGGATAAAAGAGACTCCAGTCCTCACATAACTCATAGTCCTGTGGTAGGAACAGGAATGGTTAGCTTTCAGCCATACCGCAGTGTGCTCCACAACATTGAGCATCACTTGATATGACAAAAATAAATACAGTGAAACCCAAAAATCATAGAGATGTATTTTTTTTGTTCTTCTGTTAAATCTATAACAGCATATGTCAATACACAAAATAATCAAATAAAATAGATCAATATGGTTGGAAAAAAAAAAAAAAAAATACAAAACGTTTCTACACAATTCTAAGATACACACTTAGCAAAACACTGTAGATTACACACTTAGCACTGTAGATACACACTTAGCAAAACAACAAAATATTTAAAACTATAATGGATTTTTCAATTGAAAAGGAACAAATCAAAAGGTTATGAGTGTTTAATTTACAATGCAAAACTCATATGCTTTATAAGAAAGAATCCAAGACAATCTGTAGTGGCTATGGTGCCGGGAGTGCTCAGGTGAAGCCCTCATTAAAGGGAGTGAAACCGTTTCTGAACAGTTTGAATTCTTAGCTGGGCTCTGCTCCCTGCCTCCACTACCATCTCCTAAGAACTGGCCGTTCCTCAGGAACCCCCATTAGCTCTCCTGAGCCAAGCTCTGTATTGCATGGATTAAGTTAACAGAGCCCAAGAAGTTACGGGATAAGAGATAGAGTTCTAAATACAGTCTAGCACTCCACAATTGTTAAACTTCATGAGCCAACACTGAAGTACTATTTGTCTCTATGAAGATACACGGTTAATGTGGAATCCCAAAATACTTGCAGAGAGGTAAATTTCAATGCCGTCTGATTCATACTGTGCCCGGATGCCTGCAATATATGACTTAATGGAACTTCCTGTGTGATTCTGCTTAATTCCTGGGCTTGCAATTTATCCTACCAGGTGTGATTTCATATTCATATTCTCTCTGCCTGATTAATTTAGACTGGAAATTGCTATGAAAATAAGCAGTTCAGATATAAGAGGGAAGGCTTTGTTAATTTTGTTTTCTTGCTGAAAACTATTTAACTTTGGATCACACAGGATTGTTATAGAAAGGTGTGAATGTCATATCACTGTTTTAAACAGTGTGTTAAAAAGAAAGAAAAAGACATTACAGTTGTATTCAATACCTTAGCTTCCAGTATAATAGCAATGATTGTATGTGGATTGTCTACACAGTTCTTCTTTAAATCCTGCCAATTTGCCCAAACATCATCTTTCAGAGTGAGAATCTGAAATAAAGTGGTTAAGAATGTAAAATGTTTGACATTAAACATTTTCCATTTATGGCACTCCTTGAAATGGTTTGCATTGCATTATCTTGTAACTATGGGACATCCTAAGGATCACACTAATAGACTGAGCCATCCTACATAACATCAAAGTTTAGGGGTTATTTTGTACAAATGAAATTACAAAAAAAAAAAAAAAATAGATACGCAATTGGATTTTTATTGAGTTAAAGGACTACATAATGACTTCTGTCAATTAAGTCATAATGTTGCCTGGAGGTTCTGTGTTCCCTTATGTGGTTAAACATTTATGAACAGTATAACTCTTAAGGAGACGCTGTAGCAATGAGAATCACCAGAGTGCCCAAAGATTGTACAAAACAAATAATCAAACAATAAACAACCTAAAGTGACAACTTAGGGAACTAAATGGGGTTGAATTATCCATATCATTAAACAAAAAGACTAAGTAATAATTATAGTCAACAGACTAAAGTTATCCTCCCATAGTATGCAGACGTTGGGTCATTTCCACCCCTTAAAGACAGATAACAGATTTTCTACAATGCTGGCCTTTTACTTCTGAAGCTGTCCCCTTGTGGGATTAAAGAGCAATGAATTCCTTCCATGCCTTGTGCTAGCAGAAATGTTAGCAAATGTACATATTTCCATTTAAAGCTCACATGTTAATCAATCCTCAGCATTAGAACCTGGCAGAACAGAGGATCTAATTACAATGAGTGAGTGACAAGGAGAGCAAACAAACCCTTCCCTATGAGGTTCTCTTGCTCCCTGCCAGACTGCTTCCCCTCTAGCATGCATGCCTCATGCTTGCTGGGGGAATATGGGCAAAAGGACACCGATGTGCTGGCAGTGAAGTTAGCAAATCCATGTCATCATTAAGAACTACCCTGCTTGAGGAAGTGACCTCAAGCAGGGCAATCCCGACAGAGAGCAGGTGGCTACAGATACAGCAACCCACAGACACTTTGGGATAATGCCATTCAAACTACACATTCACTAACAGAACTGTTAGAAGAGGCCTCAATCTGACATGCAAATGATCCAGGAACTCTCTTCAAAGGGATAACTTGTCCTAAATTTGCTTAGGAACAGAGCAAGCTACTTGAGTTCTTGTCTATTCTGAGTATTTTCTTGAACACAAGCTTTGAGTATTGAATTTATGTAAATATTTTGTAATGTTGCTCAAAGCATATTTTTGTGGATCTCTATATCAGTGAACAATTCTACCGACATTAGTCGGTCACATTTTTCTAAGAATTTTAACCCAATACCATTATATATGGCAGTATGCGATTTTAAGAATGAAAAAAATATTGTTGTTTCAATGCATCTTTAATCTTTAGGAACTGAATCAAATTGTGTAGGAATATTTAAAACCCAGTAGAGTAATGAGTGCAAGAACAATCATAGAGGTCAGTTTTAAAGAATATAGCATGCATCCATCTAAAATGATTGACACACCTTGCGATAAATCTCCAGTTCCTTTATTTTGTTCTGCAGGTCTTGTTTCAAATCAGCGGCAATGTGTGGCTCACAGAAACAATATCCAAGGATCTCTTGACATGCTTCCAGAGGCCACTTGTCAAGAAAGTGAAGGGCAAGTTTACTTCTTAAGTCAGGGTCTTCAACCACAAAAAGGTATTTCCAGCCATCTGTCTCTATTAGAAATAAGTAAAATTGATAATATAACTCCCATGAACGACTAACAGTGAACAATACATTTCTCAGATCCATTCCTCTTAAAATCACCTATTTGAAAAACTCTATTAAAATAGAGCAGCAATGGAGCACGTACCACTCCACCACCAGTAAATAGACTCTTCCATGAGAGCCAGATTTATGCGGTTAACTAGGTTTGGCAACCAGCTGACACACTCTGTCAATTAGCTGGCCCTGCATGGCAGCACTTGGCTCAGACCATTTAACGGAAGCTCTGAGTAGGAAGGAGATTCCGGCTCTTAATTATAGGAAGTGACCTCGGTGCCCTAAGTAAGTTGCCAAAACATTACAAACTTTGTGTGCAAAATTTTATTTCTTCAACCTGGATCTTTATAATGCTCCAAGAGTCATGTATTAATGAAATTAGCAAATTATTCAACATACCTTCAGCAGCAGCACAGCACAAGAGAGCGTCTTTCACTCCTGCAAAGTCTTCAAGTTCACCAATATGCAAATCTAAAATCTGCAAAACCTTTTTCCAATTCTTCTCAGTAACTGCTTTCTGTAAAGCTTCCATAATTACTTCATTTGCAGCAGGGTAGTGAAAACCTAGGAGAATCAAGGAACTGCAAATCTTGCCACAGATAGACCGGTTATATTCATTGCCCTCAGTATAGTCATCCACAAATGGCACAGACAGGGTGGACAAAAACCTTTGAAGAACTGGAAACTCAGAAAGGAGCAATTCACATTCATTTGCAATGCATTCCATTTCCAGTGGACTTTCTTTCTTGTTGCCTATTAATTCCATCCAGGACAAACCTGATTTGGGGGCTTTATGAATTTTGGAAGCACTCAGACAGGCAATAATTGCAGTTATATTTGACTTTGATTTTAAGAAGTTTAGGATCGATGCTGTGATACGGTACTGGTTGGAATCAGAAACAGTTTGCTTAAAGGAAGAACTGGCTTCTCTGTCCTCGTCACACTTGAGAAGTGGGATACATATGTCTGGTAAACAAGTATTCAAACATTGCTGAGTCAATTGTCCAATACCAATCAAGAGCGACTCAGTCTGGACAGTCTTCATTGTCCTACAAAAGGACAATGGCTCACAGCAACAATCCAGTATAACCCGCCCTAAATTTAGCTCAATATTTTCTTTCTCCAGTAGTGAAGACAACCTACAGTGAATAAAAACAATATTTCAGTGAAGTTACCATAAAAGTGTTTTTTTTGCAGAGGTAGGCTACTTTAAAGCCTGTTTGTTAAACGTTGATACTTTACAAACCACATCAACAGATAGTGGTATGTTCCTTCTCGGTCTCTCCGCTCTGCCTATGACTGTCTCCTGTCCATTGTTCGCACCCATATGGCCAACTCACGCTTGCAGGTCTTTTTGCGGGCAGCTCCCTTCCTATGGAATAGCCTGCATAGCGCCATCAGACTCTCCCCTAGTCTTGCATCTTTTAAGAAGTGCCTTAAAACCCATCTCTTTAGGAAAGCTTATGGTCTCCCAGAGTAACCTCTAACTTACCTGTCTCTTGCTCTTTCCTAAAGCGCAGCACTCTCTCCTCCAGCTCTGACTTACTCACACCTTACTTGATTGCGAATTCCTGTCCTATTGTGTTTTACACCCCACCTCCTATAGAATGTAAGCTTGTTTAAGCAGGGTCCTCCTCAATCTATCGTTCCTGTAAGTTTTCTTGTAATTGTCCTATTTATAGAATATAAATGGCAATAATAATAATCGTACATAAATACAACACACCTAAACAGATGGCAGTACCTCACCTTTCTGCATGTACTTGTTTTTCAAACAGCAAGTAAGAAATCAACTGAGCAGGTTTTTGTTGTAGAAGAACAAAAGGATTTCCAGTTTTCAGATCTAGAGATGTATCTACAAAAGAAGACAATAACATTTTACATCACACATTACATTATGTATAAATCTATACACACGTTTTGTCAGGGTATTTATATCGGCAGACATCTTGTGCTATGATAGAAACTAAAAGTGTATATTCTGAGTCATTCTGAACAGACCAGACTCCATTTTGTTATTTCAAGTTAACAAAAAGACACTATATTTCTATCTGTAAGCTAACCACTTTCCCAGAGCTGAGGAATGCATAGTATATACAAGACAAGTGATAAGGAAGGGGGTTGGACAGACTGTCTAATGCTAATGGAATATAATCAAATCTAAACCCAGACAATTGTGACAGAGAAGATTAAATAATTTAATATTTAACTGTCTATATATATAAGGTACCATTGTATGGAAAAGGGTAAACTTAGTTCATGATCTGTCATATCAGAAATTATGGCAGGAATTGCAGACGCTAAGTCTGGACAAAATTTAAGAAACCCTTTGAAATTTTAAATTATGGCGCTATAAAGATAACGCAAAATGACGTCAAAATAGCCACCAGGAAAAGTTAACTCTTTCCTGGATAGGTATGTTTAGTGGGACAAGACTGCCCTCTACAGACCAAATAACTAATTTGCGATCTGGAAGATAACCACACCTCTAGTGCTTCTATTGGGTTATCAACTGATGACGTACAGAGAGTCTGGCCCTTTAAAAGTTAAGACAAAGGGAAGATAGAGAGAAAGACGAAGGAGGCAGATGCAAGATATGCAAAGGAGAGAAAAGAGAGGAATTGGAAGTTTGGGGACTCCAACCTCCATGCAGAGACACATCCAAATAAATTCCTGAGACTACCAATCGGATGAAATATCTACTCAACTGGTAATTATACTGGTTTCATTTAATTAAATTAAATTAATTAAAATGTATTAATAGCATTATATATGACTGGATAAAGCACGGTCAGATTTCCATATTAAGAAATCTTAGTTAACTAAGAATATATAGTTATAAACATTCCATTCTGCAGGTGGAATTAAGAATAATTATATATTGATGTGATATTATCACGTGTTAGCATACCGCTGTTTTTATCCAGGTGTATTGATTTGCTCTAAATTAAGATAGATATCTTTTAGACAAATTAAAAATCTGTTTATATAATATGTAGATTCTCTTATTGGATTGTTTTCAGGAAATGGCTAATGAACTGGTTTAAATGTTATTTTATTTAAAAATTACATAAGAATAGATCTTAACTACCTAGGAGATCTAGCCAGCATTGAAAGGGTTATTCTAACTGTCTGCTAAACTTTACGACCTTACGCTGCACTCTGAGGAATTCTGTTCTTCACTGTGAAAACTTTCACTTTAAGTCTGTGAAAGATAGTCATAAATAAAGTCTTGACAGAAAATGCTTTTTAGCCATTGAAACGTAATACCCATTCCTTTGTATTGCATATCAATTTATACTGAATATTCATTGATTATTGTCATGCATGTTACATATATTATTATTAATTATTGGTTATCATAAATAAAAATCTATTTTTATATAAACTGTGAATATTATTTATATGGTATACATTCCACTTAACACGATAAACGTTCTTTGGGATCTGAGAATTGAATTAGTGGGCAATTCTCAACTGTTTACTATTATTATCCCATAAATATCCCCACATATTGGAGGCACGGTGCTGAGATTGTTTAAGTTGAAATTGTATTTCATATATAATAATAATATTGGTGTAATTCATGCAATTTAATCTTAATATAGAAAAGAGTTTTGTATTGAGATTAATTAATAAAATAAAAATAAAAATGGCCAGTGGCAGTGATAAATCTGTAACAGATAATACTGAAATAATTGAAGACCTAAGAAAACATGCTCTAGTTCATATTCATAAACATATGAAAAATGATGCAACCTATGAGGTTTGGTTGAAAAGCATAGAATGGGAAGCTAAACAAACCATTCTAACTGATGAACACATCATCATATATCTTAAAGAAATTGCTGAACAAAAGAACATAGAAAGGAAAATGGCGTACATAATACACTCTTGGCCTTTCTTTATGACAGCACTTCTTAAGGTGTGTGATGAAAACAAGTCACTGAATGCCAAATTGGACACGTACAGTGACGATTTGGGCATTCAAAATGGGAAATACCAAGATTTACTTGCTGAGCATAAAACTCGTCAGGCTGATCATGAAAAAGAAATGAAAGCTTTGATGGATAAATATGCACAGGAAATAAATCAGCTTAAAATGCAATTGGATGAGTATGAAAAGGAGAGTCAGAAATTAGACAGTGAGGTTGGTAGTCATCATTCTGTGCCAAAAAGTTGCACAAAAATGCAAGAAAAGACTATCTGTAAATCCCCTCCTTATTATGGTTTTCCCACACCAAACCAGGTTTTCATAAAACAGTCTCTAAGTAAAGATGTGAGTAATTCTGAGAAAACACCTATAGATTCTTGGCAATCTTGGGCAGAACAGTTTGAAAAGACTGTCCTGGCCAAGCTTGACAGAAAGAATCAGATTCAAGGTGATAGGAATGAAAACAGACATGGTTCTGTACACTGGCAGAATTCTGATGCAGATCAGAGTTGTGACAGTGAACAAGAAGCTCAGAGTGATGGGAGTGAAAGTGATTGCACTCTCCACTCTGAAGGCCATGTAACTGATATGCCATCTGCACTGTTGTACGGGTCTAATTCCTCTTCAGCAGACAGATCGCATAGACGTTTACCCAAACACAGAAACAGAGATCGTAAATCAACGACGCCTGTTTATGAAACACCAAAGGTCATCAAATTCCTTAGAGAGACTGTCCCACAATTTTCTAGAGGTTCAGGAAACATATCTGAACATCTGGAAAATTATGATAGAGCAATGAATTCATTGGGCATGTATGATGACATTCATAAGAAATGGTTCATTACATGGACCTTTGATTCAATGTGTCGTGTTTATCTAGAAAGTCTTCAAGCTATACAGTTAATGTCCTGGTCCAAGATGAAATATGAAATAATCATGGAATATGGTAAGTATAAAACCATTGCCTCTGCAAAGAAGGCGCTTTATAACTTAAAGTGCCGTCCAGATCAAAGCCCCAGAGAATTTTTAATAATTCTTAAAAATGCATACTCCGTGGCCCAAAGAAAACCCAGGTATGAAAGCACAGACTTCAAAGATCTGTATTTTCATGCCATGCCGGTAAACATACAAATGAATCTCGCAAGAGATTACGATTGTAAGTTACCATTAGAATGGCTAGTCAGTCAGTGCATGAAGTTGTACACTATACACCATGCACATGACGAAAATCAGCCAAAGGTTAAGAAACCTGGTGATAAAATGGTGACAGAGACTAAAATTCAGTTAGGTTTAGAAACCCAACAGAAAAAGAGGACCTATTCCGAGGTTTTGAAAACACCAAAACCTCAGAAACAGGAAAACACCAGAAGCAATTCTGCAAACTCCTCTAATAACTCTGAAAAATCCAATGCCAATGGGAATAAACGCCCCTGGGTTAATAAAAACCAAGGCAATTCCCAATGGAGAAGGAATCCTCAGGGAAATAGGAGATATGGAAACAGCAATAATCAATCTGTTTCCAGTAACTCCCAACAGTCTCAGCCATCCCAGCCAAATTCTAATGGGCAAAGACAAAACGGCAATGGGAGAAATAATTTGCGTCGTCAGGTTGGTCAATTGACAGACCAGATGGGCAAATTAATGGAGGGAATGACAAAGATTAACGAAGTCTTTGCCAAAAATCCTTTTTTAGGGATAGCTCCAATTGCAGAACTACCTGTGCAACCGCAGCAACAACAACAGGTGCCGCAGCAATAATAGCCACTGTGACTAAACAGGCTAGGTTATCAGTAGATGTAATGCCTAACCCTGTTTCCTTTCCAGGTACTAACAGTCAAACAAATAATAGTTGTGTTAGAAAACCTATTGCCTATACCGTCACTTCACTTCCGGGTGAAGGAGGCGCAACGTGTTCCTCTGTTTTTTCATTTCAGCCAAAGGCTAAAGTAGCCCCAGCAGCCACTAGTTTCCAGGATCCAGACCTGAAAGGGTTAACTGATGAGATGCCGACCACTAGTTCCCGCTTGATAGTTCAAGATGTTCCTAAAAAGGATGGGCCTGTGGGTAAGACTGAGCATTCCTCAGTACAGGTAGAAACTACTGCTGTGACC